ACCAGTGCCTGCCCACAGCAGCTGTGCTACCTCAGAAGCTGGACTGATGACACCAAGCTGTGGAACTGTGACTTAGAGAGCAATGTGGATATTCCAGCAAAACTGGCCACCTGGGCCCTCGGCTCTGCAGGCGGTGGTGATCGGGGCTCTCGGGTCGCTCAAGCCCTGAGTGCTCGTGGCAATGCAAGGTCCTCTTCTCTTGCACAGAACTCACAGCTAAAGTAAAAAAAAAAAAAAAAAAAGTAAGAGTCTTTGCTCCTGACAAAACAAACTGAAGAAGGAAATGGAAATACATACCTTCCCACTAGGCCAACCTGCTTATTTGCATGTCCTTTTCCAAACAGACTTGCTCGTGCGGCTCGGAAGCTATTAGAAATAATATGTCCTTCCTGGTTTTGGGAGGGGGGGTGTGTTGTTTCTTTTTGTATTGTTCCGCTGTACGACAGGTACTTTGCAGACACTCAGGAACAACTCTGCCTCAGTCCAAGCGCTCGTGTATTTCAGAATTAAAGCAGCACGGCAAAAGGCGCTCAGTACAGCACAGCAGAACTGTACGTAGGTAAGCTGCTTCTAAATCAATAAAGCGGTAAATGAGATGAAGTTCCCTGCACAGCTCCTAATAATCTGTGATGGTAGAAAACTGAAGCTTCATTTTAAAGCAAATAGTTTCTCTTTATTGCTCTTTTTTAACTAATGTGTGAGTATGACCTAAAATAGTGACAACAAAACTTGGGTAACTTACATTTTAGGTTGTTTTGCAGAATCTACTGCTGAATGCATTTGAAAGCAAAAGAGTTAAAAGTTACACAAATAACTTCAGGCTACAAAAAGTATTGATGCCAATAGTTGTGCAGAGAACACCAAGCTTTAATGCTGCTCTCCTTTTCAAATGCCTTTCAGAACGTAACCCAGCTCCCTCTGAAAGCCACGGGGTGTTTCCTTGCCTCCCTAGGAGGTTCCCGATTTGTTTTTTTAAAGTTACAGGTGTGCATAACTGAGAATACTTTCTTACGTGCTGCAGCAGCAAGCTAATTGTTTGTTATGACGTGAGCATTTCTGTTGAGTGTGGTAAACATTGTTTAACAGGCACGTCAGACCTTTTGTGTGAGACGAACCGGTCCGAGTAAAGGTACCGCAGCATTCCCGGGCAGTCAGATTGCCGTCTTTAACCGCTCTCACCGCCCTCCTGCCAGAGGTTGCTCCTCCGATCTCGCAGCTCGGCTGCTCGTGGGAGCATCCCTTATCCTGCTTCGGTCCAGATGAGCAGGGTTAGCTCGGAACAGTCCGAGCTGCAGAGCATCACCAGGTCAGGCCATTTCGCCTGAAATGCTTGAGGGAGCAACCAAGCAGGTTCTGCTGGACCCTGGAGGGGGATTAACCTTGGGCAGGGCTGGGCAGGGCTGGGCAGCGCTGTGGAGGGCTGGGAGGCGTAAAGCCACCGGCCACCTCGGATACACTATCTCCTGGCTGTGAGCAGACCCTAAGGCCGGGCTTCATCAGCCATTGCGTTCATTTTAGGACACCCAATACCAG